GATCAAATTTAGGCAAAAAATGATCACAAATCAATTTCCAACTAAAAAGTTATGTTCCAAAATTTTAGCCTCATATTGAGACCCTTTTTGACATAGCAAACGGTCGAATTGGAGAATGATGTCCGAAGTAAAATTATAGTCCTTTGAGTTAGTTTTCCAACACATCTTGAATCACCTCACTCAAACATCGGACGAGAAAGTTATGCTAAAAATACTGAATAACGTGCAATCTGTCGTTTTCGACTGAACCAGACGCTCTCATTGAAAATAACAGCTAACCCAGCACCGTAGCTCCCATCTTGGGCGCCAAGGCACTGAATATGCGGGAAAATGTGTTTTTATATTTTTGGACTCTTTTCTTGGCCTAATTCAACCTTAATTCGTCCAAGACTCCAACATATTATAAATACCATTAAAAAAAACTCTATTTTCAAGAAGAAGAAGAATTAAAGGGACAAACACAACGATTGAAGGGGCCAAGATTGAAGATAATTCAAAGGGATTCAATTACAATTCAAAAGGAGGAATCGAAGGAGGCAAGAACAACGTCAAATTAAGAAATTGAAGATCTACATCTTAATTTTTTCTACTCTCTTCCTTATGTTTTCTTATAAGAATTTTTGTGTTTGCATAGATTATATCATGAGCTAAATTCATATTCTAGGGATTGATTGTAGCCAAAACTTGATATTATGGTTTGATTATGTTATATCTACTTTTATTTAAATTTTCACATATATTTAATTGTGCCATGATTTTAATATTTTCAATAAACTATCCACTAAGTGAATGATTTGATGTTTTAAATTTTGGCGCTCGAGAGAGGCAAATTTAGGCACGATCATATGATTGACACAACATGTTTTATGGGTTTCGAGAGGAAGTATAGAATCTATGAAGCTTACTCCATAAAAGAATTGAGACTTCAATAAATTCTTGATTTTGATTTGGAATAGAGATATTTGAATTGAAATTTAGGATTAATTTCTAGCCGGGGCTTGAGAGAGGTGGTGAGAAATACATTAGGATTCTTACTTTTAGACATGAAAAAATTGATTAGAATAATTGGACATAATTTAATTATAATTAATAGTTAGATGAAATCATTCCCTAGGCTTTTCCATCTTGATTTATTCTTATAATTGCATCCCTTGAATTCGTCACCAAACTCATCGTTAGATTAGTTAACAATATTGATTTTAAACTCCATTCGTTAAGATAAAATAGAAGCTACTCAATTATAGTACCTGGTAGAAATTAAATTATAATTCCTGTGGATTCGACACTCTTACTTCAAAACTATATTACAAAAATTGACATCGTACACTTGCGGTATAAATCACATTGCATAAAATGCGTGGCAATTGCTCACTGAAATTTAAAATATCTAGTTTTGATCTCATCATCCCCCATTCTTCAAAAGGATTTGTCTCGAATCTCCACCAATATCAAACAAGGAAATATTAGAAATATTGAAAGTAGCAGAACGTTATACTCACCTGAAAGATCCAATTTACAGGCATTGTCATTGATATTTTTCAAGCACTTGAAATAGTTCATCTCTTCTTGGATGCAACTTTGACTTCCTTTGAGCTGGAAAGCATTCTTTTCTCATATGCACCTAAAGCCGATCGCCTGATTTGAATGTAATGCACCTCCGCCCTTTATTTGCTTAAGAAGCATAATGCTCATTTTTCTCTTCAATCTGCAACTGTATCTTCTCATGGAGGGATCTTACCAACTAGGCATTCTACTTGCCGTCCAAGCAACCTCTCTCATCAAGTAAAATGAATTAAATCCAAAGGTTGTTAATTGATTAAAACCATAAATAATTTTAAATGGGGTATAAGATGTAATAGAATGCGTGACCCTACTATATACAAATTCTATGAATGGCAAGCAATCCTTCCAACTCTTCAAGTTCTTATTTACTAGAGTGTGTAATAGTTGCGTTAAAGTCATATTAGCAGCCTTACTTTGCTCATCCATTAGTGGGTGACAAGTAGTAGAAAATAATAACTTAGCCCCTAACTTACTCCACAAAATCTTTCAAAAATGGCTAAAGAACTAAACATCTCGATCCGACACAATACTTCTAAGTACCCCATCTAAACATACTACTTCCTTATAGAATAAATCCATAATATTAGTGGCATCATCAATTTTATGACATGGAATGAAATGTGTCATCTTAGTAAACCTAGAACCATAAAAATGGAATTTCTTCCTTTTTTAGTCCTAGGTAAGAGTATGTTTGGTACGACTTAAAACCCAATTAAAATCAGTTTTTTGATGGTAATTTTACTATTCCAGCCGTCATTTTTGAATTCTCCTCTCACAAGTAGGAGCCACTTTATCTCTAATGGTCACAAAATCAATTAACAAAATCTCTAACAAACAAGCACTAAATTTAATGGTCACGAACTTATATCTGTCTTTGATTGATTACCGAAGTTTAAAATATTGAGTTTTGGCCATTGAACTTTGAAAAACGTTGTACATTACTTATTGGCTTAATTTCCATCTCAAACCTCTAACGAAATTGATGATGTGGTTGACAGAATGCATATGTCTCGTCACGTCACATCGTTAAACTATGAGATTGTCGAATTTTGACTACTAAACTTTGAAAAATATCTTTTATTGCTCATTAAACTTTGAGATAGTTGAATTTTGGCCACTAAACTTCGACATAGTTGAACTTTGGTTACTAAACTTTAAAAAACATCTTCTATTGCTTACCATAAATTTGGATTTAACTAAGCATCTGTTTATCTTTCTTTAAAACAAAATTCTTCAAATTTCGTTCTCATTTTTCATAACACATTTATACAATAAAAAAATTTTACACGTAAATTCAATTTTTTTTTCATTTTTTAAACCACTCATTTTTCAAAAAATTACTATTTAAAACTTTTTGAATAATTGCCATCAAACCAGAGCTAAAATTCATTGTCAGAATTTGAATTTCATAATTTTAACAATAAATATACTCTATGTTTCATTGCAATTAGTATTAACTTCTTTAATATAGTTTTGCAAGACATCTTCTATCACTCACAATAAATTTGGATTTAATTAAAATTCGTTGTTAAGATTTGGATTTAATTTTATTTAACAACAAATTCATGACGTTTTTTGTTTTGAAATTCAAATATTATGATGACCATAACTTAAAATCCTACAAAAATAAATCAAAATTATATTTAACTACTGTGTAATTGAGTAATCATTTCTAGCGGCATAAACTATACTTGCAAAGTTGTGCAAAAAAAAAAAAAAGTGACTACTAATTGCAATGAAACACATAATATATTTATTGTTGAAATTAAAATAAATTCGAATTTTAACAACGAATTTTAGCTCCTATTTGATGGTCATTATTTCAAATAAAAAGAGTTATAAATAGTAATTTTTTTGGAGAATGTGCAGTTAAAAAGTTGATTTTTTTTTAAATTTATGTGTAAATTATTTTATTGCATAAATAATGGATGTCAAATAGGGGCTTGTTTTGAGTTTACGTGTAAAATTTTTAGTTTATGTATAAAATATAAATGTGTGAATAAAAATAAGTATGAAAATTAAAGAGAATTGTTTTAAAGGGAAATAAATAGATGCTTAGTTAAATCTAAATTTATAGTGAGCAATAGAAGACGTTTTTCAACGTTTAGTGGCCAAAGTTCGACTTTATCAAAGTTCAGTGCCCTAAACTCGACTACCTCAAAATTTAGTGAACAATAGAAGATTTTTTTTGAAATTTTGGTGGTTAAAGTTCGACTATCTAAAAGTTTAACGGTGTGACGTGATGTCAAATGAGCATTCTGTCAGTCACATCAACAATTTTGTTAGAGGTTTGAGATGGAAGTTATGTCAGTGAACAATAGAAGAATTTTTTCGAAGTTTAGTGGTGAAAGTTTATCGGTGTGACGTGGAATCACATGTGCATTTCGTCAGCCACGACAACAATTTCGTTAGAGGTTTGAGACGAAAGTTATGCCAATGAGTAACGTATAATGTTTTTCAAAATTCAATGGTCAAAACTCGACATTTTAAATTTTACGTACATATAAGTTTAGTACTCACTAAAATTTGATATTAGTATGATGCTACACGTATATCAGTGTGTCTATGTCGATATACACCTTTCTCATCCATTTTCAATAAAATATAATTTATTTAAAGTGAATCTCCTTCATGTGAAGGGGTTGACATCGATGTGGATACAACATTATATATAAGTAGACAATTCCTTGATTATTTGATGCCCTTGCTGGAGCCACATTATTTTCATAAAAACGTATTTTTGAATAGTTTATTTATGAAAAATGTGTGGTTTAAAAATAAGGAAAAATTTTAAATTTACGTGTAATATTATTTTATTAAAGAACGATATGATGTCAAGCCCCCGTTTGGCCCTCATTTTCTAGAAATGAAAATGAATGGAATAGTGTTTTTTTGAAAAATGAGTGGTTGAAAAATAAAAAAAATTTGATTTATGTGTAATATTATTTTATGAAAAATTGTGTGGTTAAAACGTAAAAAAGAGAAAAATGAAATGTAATGTAATTAAATTTGATGGGCCAAATTCAACCCCCGTTTGAACCCCATTATTTTTTATTACATTAAATTAAATTTTTTTCTCTCCTACTTTTAACCATACAATTTTCAATAAAATAATATTACAGGTAAATCAAAAATATCTCAATCACTTATTTTTCAAAAAAATACTATTTATCTAATTATAATCTACAAATAATGTCCTTGTTTGGGCCCCATTTTTGTGAAGAAAATGAATTTTTGAATAGTGTATTGATGAGAAATATGTGGTTAAAAGATAAAAATTTTTTTTGATTTGCATATAATATTATTTTATTAAAAAATGTGTGATTGAAATAATGTCAAATCACTAAATGTATTTTGGTTGAAAAATGGACTCAAACAAGTGCAATGGGGTCAAACGGCCCCTCAATCACAATATTTATGCTGTCTTGTCATATTTCACTGCTGATACACTTGGCTCTACCGTCTCAGCTGGTCAGCCCTAAGGAGTTCAATTCAAAATTCGAATTCCCTCCCGGCTGCTCTACAAGCTCACAAAAATGGGGGTTCCGGCTTGCAACGTCGAGATCTCGGCGGAAAATGGTAAGGCCGGAGTCAACTCCGATGCCGTGGCTCCATTGCGGCGGAGCAGCGCGAGATTGCAGAAAATGCAGAATCAAAAATCGTCCTCTGTTGAGGTATCTGCTGAAAATGAATCCGGGTCGAACGGTATTCGGAAGGAGAGCAGTGTTTCGAGGAAGAATACGGGGCGGGCTTACAGAAAGAGGAAGGTTGAAACGCCTCACGCCACTGTGCTGCCCCAAAATGGAGTAGTCGGTGAGGCTACTGAAACTCCTGAGATGGTGAACGGTGGGGACACGATTATTAGTTCCAGTGATTCTTTGGTTGGAAAAAGTGCACATACGAAGGTTACTGAGACTTTGCGGACTTTCAACAAGTATTACCTTCATTTTATTCAGGTACATTAAATATCTGCTCTATGTTTTTGTTCCTTTTCTGGGTTATTTTGACAACTAGCCTGCAAAAAGACTGATTGAAATGTTTCATTAATATTGAGTCTTCTGTAATTCTTGGCTCAATGTTAGTACCATTTAGCATGCTGTAAAATATCTCAAGCATTAAACAGATATTGCAACATTCATTTGAGACCAGTTTATGGTTTATTTAGTTGCTAATTGGAAATGTCACAAATTCTGCTTATATGTTACCTGTTAAAAGAAGGAATTTTTTTAGATGCATTTGCTAAACCCTTTTTTTTTATTTTTTAAATTTATTTATTTATTTTTTGTAGGAAGAAGAGAAGAGGTGTAAAAGACAAGAAGTTGATCAAAAATCACCGAAGAGTTCAAAATCCAAGGTTTGAATTTATCCAATCCCCTTCAATTCTCTATATTTGGTTCCTTAACTGCTGATGTGGCAATGGATTTGTTACTCGAGGCAGTTGATTTCTTTATCATATCACCAATTATGCTATTTTGTGCAGCAAAACTCATGATTTCCCGATCTTGGAGCACATAATACCAGTCTTATAGCCATACTTCTTGGTTTACTAAAAAGCATATGAATTAACTTCAACTTACCATGTCGAAATTTGTGCAGAAGAACTGCAAAACTGCAGATGATACTAAAAGGGGTTCCAAACGACCTGACCTGAAGGCAATAACCAAGGTATGTCACTGTTTTGTCTGGCTAAATCTATATATACATGCACCTTGTCGATGTTCACTTTCTTGTAAGCTTGATTTGTTCTAATATTCCTATTCTTTGTTAATTCGTTAGCATTTTGTTAATCATTGATATTGTGCCATTCATTGTTTTAAAAAAGTATTTGAGGGTGATGCCTCAAATTGCGCCTCACATGAGGCTCTCATAAATTGCCTCAAGTATTTGAGGCTCATGGCTCAATTTACTAAGGCTTACTCCTTGATTTATTCATGGATATTGTGCAATTCATTGTTTAAATAATGTATTTGAGGCTTATGCCTTAAATTCCGCCTCATGCTCATGTCTTTATTTACCAAGGCTTACTCATTGACTGATTCATGGATATTGTGCAATTCATTGTTTAAAAAAAGAATTTGAGGCTTACTCCTCTCTCGAGGCTTACATAAAGTGCCTTAAATATTTGTGCTGCACTCCGGCTTACTCCTTGACTTAGTGAGGCTTATGCCTCAAGGCTATGTATCAATATGACTTAGTTTGCCTAGTTGTCTTGCATTTTCTAGACTTTCTATTAAAGGCCTTAGCCTTTTGAACTATTTTTCTTCTCTTGATTTATTTTTTGCTTGTTTGCAAGCTAAACTATTAATATGCCTCCGTTTGGTACCCATTTTTTTCAAAATGCATTTTTCTCTCTCTTCTTTTCAACCACACATTCTTTATTAAAATAATATTACACATAAATAAAAAATTTTTCCTTATTTTTCAACCACACGCTTCCCATCAAGTTACTATTCTAAAATGCCTCTCAAACACCCCCTATGTTTTATGGTGTATGATTTATTATGAGCATAATTTATTAATTTTATATTCACTTGAATTATTTATTAGTCTATCTTGAGGCTTACGCCTCAAAACGCATATGATATTGGCTAGCCTTACATATTTATTTTGTTTAATTGTAGTCATCACCATTACGTGCAAGGTGGGTTCGCTTTTTATACTGAGAACATTTATGTACTCTCCTAACATGTTGTACTACCTCGTTAAAATGTACACTTTGTTATTTAAAATTAGTCTTCAACAACATACTCATATACATACTAGGGTCATGCTAGTTTGGAGTTTGTCTTCAAGTTTAGTGTTTTCTTCTATTTGATTCTTGCTATATGTCGTGAATGTGATATTACCTTTTCCCTTTAAGTAAGTTTTACTTCAACGTTTGTCGAAAATTAGCAGATGATGGAGATGGGAGCTATTCTAAACCCTGAGAAGAGGTTTGGCTCCATTCCAGGTTGGTGAACAGTATATTAAAGTTTTTGCAGAAGTTATAAGATAATTGATGCTCTGGAAACATCTAGTAGCATTTGCATTGGAGTCTTTTGCTTAATGTAAGAGTTCATTTCTTCCACCTTTAGGGGAATGACATTGGGTTGGTGCTAAAACTTGGCGTCTATTTGGTCTAATAAGAATATGTTTCATTTGCTCTTCGTGTGTGGTCTTGATGTTTTCTTATTAGGGTTCCTAACTTGACATGTTTTGTGGTGCTTAAACATTCATTATGCTACCTGGGATTCACCACATTGTCTTGTTACTTTACAGCATATTTGGCATAGCTTAAATTTTAGTCTAGGATGTGATCCACAACTTATTAGTCACTTATTATGCACACATTCTGTAGCACCCACAATTTATAAGCACTACTAAATAGGCACTTAATAAGCTTCTCTAAATACTATTCTTGTTTCTTTTCTTTCCCTTCTTCATTCATTATTTTGAGAGACTTCTTGATTGGTGTGTAGGAACCATTGAATGCTACTAAATGAGTTTCTTATTTAATGTAAGCTTTTTGTAGAGACTTTTTTTCTGTGCCACCAATGTATAAAATTTCTAATGGTATAACAAGAGTTTTTCAAACATTTACCAATGAGGCCTTAAAAAACCATGTTAATCCAATACTTCCCATTAGTGAATCTTAGATGATGTCATCAATATCTTGGCTTGAATAGTCCTTGAATTGTCTGGACACAGAAGTAAAATTTGGTAAATTATATTTTTCTGGATAAGCATACATGGATTTAAATGCATTGGTTATGACAGGAATTGATGTTGGTCATCAATTTTTCTCTCGGGCTGAGATGGTGGTCGTCGGTTTTCATGGTCACTGGCTGAATGGAATTGATTTTATTGGCTCGGCTGCTCGTAATTCGGTAATATTGAATTCCTTTATTCACTATTCTCAGAGCATGGACGCTTCCTTTATTCAATATTCTCAGATCATGGATGCTCTCATACCTTGTGTATATATAATACCTCTTGTAGACAAAGGGCTGAATATTTTATGTGGCCATTGGCCATGTAAGAAGAGTGATATGTAGCTTCCTCTTTGAGTTCAGGATATTTTCCCTTGTTTGCTATCAGATTTACAAATCTGTTAAGGGACATTTTGCTTGTACTTTATTATTTTTTTCATTTTGTTGCATTACATATTCTAGATGGAATCGTTCTTTTCATCGATCAGCAATCATTACATGGATTTTTATTTTTCCTTTTCTTTTTTCCCTTTTTTTGTCTCTCTTCAGTTGCTGGATTGTAGTCAGTACACACTACCTCTTGCTACATCTATTGTCTTGTCTGGCCAGTATGAAGACGATCAAGACAACTGTGAGGATGTGGTCTACACTGGTCAAGGTGGGAACAACTTGCTCGGTGACAAGCGTCAGATAAGAGATCAAGTCATGGAACGTGGTAATCTGGGACTTAAGGCATGTTGATTCCACTTTCCATTGTCTATATTTTTATGCTCACTCCACATACAATATATGTAATAAATTGACCTTGGGTTGCACTTTTGAGTTTTAATCTTCCATATGCTTTGTTATATGGAAACTTCAATTAGGGTAGTATGTTCGTGTCGACACGTGTCAAATACCGACACTCTTAGGATACTTTGATCATTTTTCTTTCTTTATAAAAATTGTTATATATTTTCAACTCATAGTTAGTATTAAATAACAAATAGGTACTCATATTTAAAAGAGTTTAACAAGAAAAATTAATAACAAGTATAAGAACTAAATTTATACTATATAATTGAAGAACTTTAAAGAATTTGATCAATGTGTTGGCTACGTGTCAGTTTTTTCTGAAAAATTACGTATCAACGCATGTCGGGCATACTTGTCCATGTCGGTGCATCATGGTCCACATGAGTATGAAATGAATTAAACATGATGGCTGATGCTGGATATTGTGATGAAGCACAGTAAAATTCATACATAATAGCAAGGAATGGCATAGTATTCATGATATAATCATATATACAACTCACTATACCCCTACGTTGCATGAGACAACCTGATTTGAAATAAAAATGAAAGTAATATTCTCCAGTCAGAAATTGTTATTTGCAATGAAAGATGGCTGGCAGTTCATGATTGAAGACAGAGAAATCAGGTCCCATGTTAAAATTTATTGTTGATAAGATGAATTATTAGGATGCATATATAATATATAGTATAATTGCTGCAAAAGATTAGACCTGCACTGAGTAATGAAAATTATTGTCTGTAATGGTAATTGCAACCACAAATGTTTTCAAACACCATTCTCAAGGTATTATAAAAAATAAATCCGTTCTCAAAGTTTTTTGTTATGTATTTTGATGATTCTATTTTTCGTCGAAGAACTGTCTTATTTTGATTCCATATTTGTATCAAACTAGTCCCTTCTATGGTGTTTATTAATACGAGGTTAATCATTAGTAGTTTGATTGTTAACTAGAGATCTGTGTGTAGTACAACTACAATTAGTTTCCTACTACTAAGATGTTTTATATTTTTTAGGAGTTTGATTTATTTTTAGTTTTCTTGTAATAGGATTTTGGTTAGGATTATAGTTTTTAGATGTTTTGATTAGATTAAAGTTTTATTAGTTTCATAGTTTCGTTATTTCAATCTATTAGTACTATTAGGAATAGTGATAATTTGCCTGTAAATATAGGACACATTGTACAATTTTCATTCATTCATTATCCAATCAATAAAAGCAAGTTATCCAATATAGTTTTTCATATTTCTTTCATTACAATTCTTATTACAAGGATTTATCCACGCTTCCACACCAAAATTGGTATCAGAGCAAGGAATTCACCTTAATCCGATGGCCGACGATGGTACTGGTGGCAGTCGGACCGTCGACGACGAACGGAGGCTCAACAAACTCGAACAATGAATCGAGGGGATTGGCGAAGCTCTTCGCAATCTCATGAAGATGGTGACCTCGTTAACTGTGAAGTAAAGACTCGAACCCGTGGAGAAACAACCAAACTGGAAAGAAACTCAGCAAAAGGGAAAAGAATTAGATTACAGTGAATACATGGCAAAACAACCAATCCAACAGAAAGAAGATGACTCAAATTTTGGCTAGGACACTAACCTGGAAGTAAGCAGTCAAAGGGTTGCAGCGGGTATGGGAACGCAGTCTATACCCCAACCCCAATTCGCCTCAAGCCAGGAGAGATGACACCAAACCTTTGAAGATGACTGGCTCCGGCAATTGAACCCTAGCCTCATGGTCGACGTGACAACATAATCATGAATCGTGATTTTCGTGAGCCCATTCCACTACAGGTGTATGAAAGGAGAAATCGAGTCGCGATGGTCCATGTGATGATGCCGACCTCCAAAGGGCTCCAATCGACCGCGACGGTAGAGCCGGTGGTCAACCGCGAGTAACAGTGAGGAATATGGAACGGCAGAGAGGAGGCCGTGTCGAGTTCAAAGAAGTAGAAGAGAATTGTGATGATTTTGACCAAGGCTTTAATTTAATTTTGACCAGAGAGGTAATTTTGATCAAAGAACCCATTTTGATCGAGGTATTAAGTTTGATCGGCAACTAAGAGATAGGGGTTTTCAACAAAGACGACCACGGGGGTTCGACTATTCATTGGAAGAAGAAGAAATTTTTTGACCGAGGGCCAACCATTGAGGTCCAAATGTTCAAGAATTTTAGATGAAGATGGACTTGCCATGTTTTGACGGTCGATTAAATATTGAAGATTTTTTGGATTGAATCCATACCGTTGAAATTTTTGTTGACTATTTAAATATCTCGGAACAAAGTCAAGTTAAACTTGTAGCGTGCAAATTAAAAGGTGGAGCTTCTGCATGGTGGGAACAACTTCAATTTAATCGACTAAGACAAAGAAAGCAACATGTGCAGAACTGGCTCAAGATGAAACGGTTGTTGCAAAGACGATTTCTCCCTCTAGATTATGAGCAATTTTTGCACTAGTTGTATCAGAATTGTTAACAAAACTACAGGACTGTAAACGAATACACAGAGGAATTTTATCGATTAAATGCCAGCGTTAATTTGTCAGAAACAGAAGCTCAATTAATTGCGCGATATATAGGAGGCCTAAAGTTAGTCATTCAGGATCGCCTAGCTCTTCAAGAGATCTGGACCATGACACATGCAGCCAATCTGGCAATGAAAGTAGAAAATCCTACGAATGGCACCACAGCCCGTACTCAAAGTAATTTTCGACGGCTAATTCAAGAAACTTATGGTATTTCAAAGGGTGCAATGACCTCAAGTAACAACAATACTAACATCAATGATACCACTCCAATTCAAAATTTAACACAGAATTAAAGAGGAACTTCCACTCTTATTCAATCTAACACCCAAGGCAGAAATCAAACACAGCAACGAGTCAATAATGACCCTTATGTTCGCACTAATTTAGGTATGTGCTTTCGGTGCAATCAATTAGATCTTTCAAACAGCCGTCCAAACAGGCGATCCATTAACTTTGCAGAAGAAAGCGATAGTAGGAAAGAACAAAATCTTGAAGACAATGATTATGAGGGTGGTGGTGTTGCAGATGTAGGTACAGGGGAAGAATTGGCGTGCATTATCCAACGCCTTTTGCTTGCTCCAAAAAAGCCCGATACCTCTCAACGACACAAGATCTTCAAGACTTGATGCACTGTTCGTAATAAGGTATGCAGTGTGTTCATTGACTGTAGTAGTAGTGAGAATGTCATTTCTAAAGCTGTGGTGAAAGTTCCTTTCATGCTTAAAGTGATTGTATACCTTCCGTGTACTCTCTTTTAAGGAATAAAATTCTCTGATTATTTATCAAAAAAAAAAAAAAAAGGCTGTGGTAAAAGCTCTAAATCTGAAGATCGAGAGACACCTTTCTCCATACAAGATTGCATGGATTAAAAATGGCTCTAAAGTTCAAGTTCTAGAGATTTGTAAGGTTCCTTTGTCAATTGGAAAATATTACAAAGATGAAATTATATGCGACATGATGGATATGGATGCTTGTCACATCTTATTGGGTCGTCCATGGCACTATGACATTGATGCCACTTATAAGGACGGGATAATACTTTCATATTTTGGAGGTTCAATCGAAAGATCGTTTTGGCACCACAATCTCAACCTGTGGAAACCAACCCTGCTATCAAGGAAGAGAAACCACTTTTTACCAACATATCAGGCCCAAAAGTCTTTGAACTAGTAAAAGAGCCACGCAATATTTTAGCATTAGCAGTTAAAGATCAATCAAAAGCAAGTATGAAGATACCCGCCAAAGTTCAGAAGATAACTTATCAGGTAGATCTATTCCTAGATAAGACCAAAGATTATGGGGAAGTAGAAATTCAAGAAATTTTTGAATATTTTCCTCCGGATTGATTGATTTTTTTTTGGTCAATAAAACACGAGGACGAGTTTTTCTTCAAGTGGAAGGGATTGATGTAGTACAACTACAATTAGTTTCCTACTACTAAGATGTTTTATATTTTTTAGGAGATTGATTTCTTTTTAGTTTTCTTGTAATAAGAATTTTGTTAGAATTATAGTTTTTAGAAGTTTTGACTAGATTAGAGTTTTATTAGTTTCATAGTTTACTTATTTCAATCTCCTAGTACTATTAGGAACAGGGATAATTTGTCTATAAATATAGGACACGTTGTACAATTTTCATACATTCATTCATTTGTTATCCAATCAATAGAAGCAAGTTATCCAATATAGTTTTTCATATTTCTTTCATTGCATTTCTTATTACAAGAATGTCAATGCTTCCGCACCAATCTGTGTGCCTGCAAACTTAGAAACCTATTTCCAGTGTACTGGATTCAAAGTATCTCTCTGTAACTTCCAGATCATTTTTTTGCAGAACTGTATGGAGCAATCCATTCCTGTTAGAGTGACGCGTGGACATCAATGTCGAAAGAATGAAAATAGCTATGCAGGAAAAGTTTACACTTACGATGGCCTGTACAAGGTTGTTATGCTCAATTTACCCCCGACAAGCTAATCTTTTCTGTTTAACTTGCCACTGATAAGAAGGCAGTCCATGTTTCACATAATGGTGACGGACTTGTCATCCAACAAAAAATTATTAATAACTAGCTATTTTGTGACAGTTTTCGGTGAATGGTGGTGCTGTCCTTAGTTTATGCTCTTAGATACCATGTAGTTCTCTCATGGCCATGGTGTAGCCC